GCATTATCTAAGGCCAACTGCGAGAAAAGAAGAAAAAAAAACTACGCGGGTCGCCCGTGGTGTCAGACGCGGGAAAGGAAAAGAAAAGGGAAAAAAAGGCCCGACGGATCCTTTTTTACATTAAAAAAAAGCCTGTTTTTTTTTTTTTTTTTTTTTTTTTCCCAAAGGGCAGCCAGATGTCGTATGATCCAGGCACTCCGGCCTGGTTCATACGACGGCTGCTTTTGAATTATAAAAGCCGGAAAAAAATGCCGTTTCAAACTCGGGGTGTGATATCTTTGCGAACGGAGCGTGTTTTTTTTTTTTGGCTTTTTCTTTGCCTTTCTCAAACTCAAAACCTGCGGCGTCCGTACTTGTTCCAAAAGGGGAACCAGAAACTAAATTAACTCTACCAAACCATTGAACTAGGCTACCAGAAAAAATAAAAATAAAAAAAATGAATTTAAATTTCTATTTTAAATTTGATAAAGAATTTCGATGTGACCCTGAGGCAAAAATTGTTCAGTTTATTTTTCTGGACGACATAGTTTTTTTTTTGGGGGGGGGGGGGGGACCTTCCCTGCTCCTTGCACGGCCGGGCCGCCCAGGAAAATACGGTGACCCGGGCAGCCGGGCTGGTAGCCTAGCTATTGAATTGATAATTAAATTAATTCTACCAAAGGATTGAATTGAACAACCGATTATCATAGAATTAAAATGAATGGAAAGCTAGGCTACCAGGCGGGCCGCCCGGGTCAACTTGTTTGCCCGGGCGGCCCGGCCGTGCAAGGACCAAGGTCCCATCAATAATATATATATATATATATATATGCAGAAAAATAAAGCGAACAACTTTTGCCTCAGGGTCACATCGAAATTCTTTACCAAATTTAAAATACAAACTAAACTGTTTTTTCTTTTTTTTTTTTTGGCCCGGCCGGGCAAGGTGTCCCGGGCCACTCTGGTAGCCTAGATGGAAAGCAAATAACCAGTCTCGCACAGCCATAACTCTACCCAATCATAAATAATCATAATATATTAATACTGTAATAAATTAAAATTACCGATTACGAAAATAAGAAAATAAAACACAATAACCACCAGCATTGAAAGAACCTGATCAACTCTCTTTTTTTTTTCTTTTTTTTTTCCCGGGAACCTGATCACCTCTACCGAGTCGGACCCTTTTTTTTTTTTTCCCTTTTTTCCTTTTTTTTTTTTTCCCCGACTCCACCTATCCCACACCGTTGCTCAACCGGAAGAAAGTAATCAATTTCATTTCATGACGACGAAGGACGTTGTCCTGCAATGGCCAATTGCTCTGTTCACTAGACCTTGTTGGTCTACACTGATGACTTGTTGATTGAATCCTTTACTGTCACAATAGGATGCTGTGTGAATGGCTCACCAATTGCTCTACACACGCATGCATGTCAAGTACTGTTAACAAACTGAAACATACAAGCCTGTCATCCTGTCATGCTCGAAACGCGCACGGTTTACGGCCCACCTATGCTTCCCCCTTCCCCCCCCACAAAAAAAAACTATCCTTCCATCAACCTAGGCCCATCACGCGTTCCTCTGCCCTCGGGTCTCATCAGGAGGCTGTCCACTGAAGAGAAACCTCCGCCCCCCCGGGCCCCCTGTCCGCATGCCCACCCCTTACGGTCCACCTATGAAACGGTTTCAGTTTCACTCACACTGCTGATTCTGAAGTTGACGAAGTTGTGTTGCCATAGGCACTTACATGTACTATGCAAGTGGCGAGTGAAATTGAGACAAGTATGATTGCAGCTATGCTTCTCCCCCCCCCCCCCC